AGCAAATCCACATGTACATCCCACAAATAAATGTATGTCATGGGTGTTGGGTTTGGGTTTTTGACTCTCTAGTTTGCACAAAGCGAAGTGCCACTTTTGCCCCCTCCAATTGGATGGTGCCCCCTTTGCCAATATAGTCAAATGCTCCATCGCAATGTGCAACTTATCTGGTCTCAGAATTGTTGGGAAGTTATCCACTCTCATTCTTAAATATCTTCTGTTCACAGCCTGCTCATACCTCAACATGCTTTGAAACCTTGATATTGGGATGGATCCATTTATAAAATGCAACAGGTGAGTAAAACATCCACCCAATGCATGCATATAATCAACAATTGTTGTAATAGGCTGAAAATATGGTTGCAAATTCCACAATGTAGTGAACCCTATCACCCCATCCTCTGCAGTTACCTTTTGCTGGTAATTGATGACCATGTTGTCCTTTTCCAAATGGATAGCAATATGCCTCACTATGTCTGCATCATGCATAGGTGGAGGATGCATTGTTGGAGTAGAATCCAAAGCAGCTACCACCAATGACGCAGTCCTTGAGGTCACTTTTGAGGGATCATTCAGCTCTGAGCATCGAATCTGCATATGGACTTCATGATCGGGGAGATAGCAATGCACAAAGGGGTAGATCATTTTGCTAGCTGCAGAGCATGGAACCCCATGTTTGTGCAACAAAAGTAACCATCCTTTACACCCAACCCCTATATAAGATTGCTCTTTGGCCAGCCCCAGCAGTCCATAATTCCACCACCAACTCCATATAGGATTATAATTAGCAAAGTAAACACTTCATTACTTGCCGTAGGATCCCTGACTTGCATACTATGCAAGTATAAATAGTTGATCTCGTCGACAAATGGTTCCCGGTAGGGATGCAGGACCACTTTGTCTTGCCCCTTTGGCATGTTGGGAAGTCCAACAAGAAAAGTCCCAATCCCTGGTGTGCCTATCAACTGCGTCGGGAAATTCAAGATGGTCATTGTGAATGGTTCGATAGATGCAGTACTGCTGTCCTTGAACGGCTGGATACCATCTTGAGAGAAGGACAATATCACGGTGCATGGATCAGCAGATATAAGCTCATCTTCTATCGGAGAAGCTCAGGCATCTGTGTCATAAACATCATGTATCTCCCCCTCAGGTTTCTGGGCGATCTGTTGGGTAGCGGAGCAAGTTGATCAGAATGGTTGACTCACAAACATTTTTCAGTAGCTCAGAGATGCTGTTGTAGTAGGAACAACAATCTTTGTTGTTTTGTGCCCTTGCACATCCGCATCGAAGGCACACTAGGGACGTGGCAGCATTGCACCCAAAAAGTTGTCTGCACTCTACCTTCTGGCAAACATCATAGCGAAGTGATCTGATTCCAACAACTTGCCCGACCTTTGTCATCATATTTGAATGGCCATCCGGTAGCAAGCTTTGCACATCAGAACTGATAGCACTACACTTCTTCAGCGTTGCCATTAAGTCTTTCACAGCACCTCCTATTAGGCCCCACTTGGCTTCGAGAGCAAACATATTGAGCGTCAACTCTAAAGCCTGCTTCTTTGCTTGACTTGTTGCAGTGCCATTGTGTCCCTGTTCTGTACCGGCACAACCTCATACCTGAGCACCATCCTTGCCAGGTAGCCTAGCTTCTCAATGTCCTTTTTCCTTTGGTAGGACGAACAAATGATTATATTGCAAGCAATCCTCATTATGTGTCCCAGATGTGTCCGATGTGTGAACTGAATATATGTCCATGGGTACACAACTTGTCCCCCAGCTCCCCCCAGCCCCCCCCTCCCCCGGAGCTGTGCACATCTGCCATGTCTTCAGAAATGTCGCCAACATCAACATCCATACCCAATGTCCCTGCATCAGCAGCTCTAAACCTGTCATCCAACCCCACCATGGGTTGTTCCAGTGTTTGTTGCTCACTAGCACTTCCACTACCCCCAAATGCACTCCTTGCAGCTGCATCTTGGGCTGATCGAGTGGTTTCCATTTGCAGGAGGACAACACTTCCATCTCCAGTAGCAGTTCCCGCAGCTGCAATTCTACCAGTTGCACTTCCTATAGCTGCAATTCTGCCAGCTGCACTTCCTGTAGCTGCACTTCCACCAGCTGCACTTCCGCCAGCTGCACTACCTCCAGCTGCACTTCCTCCAGTTGCAGCCTTCCAGCGTAATTTCCATACCTCTAGCTACCTTCCAGCTGTAATTTTCCAATTTGCACCATCTACACCGAATGGGTTTACCTGAGCTTATTATATATTAAGCGAGATAGCAGACTATTTCCATCTAATGAACTCCCCCGCTGGCGATGTGTTGGAGGATGTCCACATTTGTTGGGGCTGACTTTGGAAAACAATGGGCACAGAAGCATAACTGCCTTGACCTGTACAGTTGACGCCCTTGAGTGTGCAGTTCAGCAAGGACCCCTCTGTACCTCTTCTCTATGAGGCGCCTGTCATCTTCTTTGGCGTTTGTAAGCACTGCAAGAATTGCAACAACATTGAACGAATGACTGTCGCAGTTAAATTGAATCAATTCCCAACGCGATTGGTATGCGCAGTGCTTGTGCAGCTGATGTCTTCTGCATTGTTGACTTATCAAACATGCCCCACAGGGGGACCAAAAATTCTGTTGATGTTCATGTGCCCTCACTTTTTGCACCCTTTGTCCTAACTGCATCGAGTCATTTGTGCCAGGTGCAAAGAATCAACCACCATCTTCCCAGATGGATAAGCGATGTGTTCAGAATTCTGTGGCAATTGGCAAGGACAACGCTCTGAGCCCCTGCCCTTTGAACGGGATATGGATGGTTGGAAGTTAGGTCCAGCACCAGTATATGCATCAGTCTACGTTCGGTTTCTCATTCCGCCTGGACTCCTTGTAGGTGCTTGGTATCCTTTTACATTAAGCTATCAGTTGTGGGGCCCAAAAGGCACATGTCTAACAGTTGGATCGGAGTGACTTTATTCTGGCTGGGGAGTGGACATTTTTTTTGGCTGGGGTCTGATTCGGTGTTGTGCACCACACAGTGCGGGGCTAGTGATTATGGAATGAATTGTAGTTTAGGTGCAGTGGACAGGCTATAGTTGCATTGCATTGCAGCTTGAGTTCATCTTAGAACTCCCCTCATTCTGATTGGGAGGGGCCCCTGGTTGCATGACATGGTACTTGGACGATAATTTGGTTTCAGTGAAGGGTGTGAGGTATGCTGGGATGCAGCTCAATGCGCCAGCTGAGTGTTGCTGAATGATCGAACTTGATTTCAAGTAGCTGAAATAGTCATCAACAAGGAATCCTGTACAACAAGGCAACTTCAGGGCTTCCTAAACTACATCTGTTGTGTCAAGTGCAGTGAGTCACTTATTGTAAGGTGGCCCTGGAGCACAACAGATTGCGATCGAAGCAGATTGCAATCTGCTTGTTGTTGTCCAATTGGTCCATCACAATGGGTGTTGATCACAACGTACTTGTGTCCCTTATATCAAGCACAGTGAGCCAAGCATCATATATTTCCAGATCTTGGCATGCCCTACATTATGGCAATGCATTACTTAGGATTCAATCGCCTCAGGGCTTTGCAAATATAGTGTTGCTGCAAGCTTATACTTGCATGTACCCAACCACAAGACATGTCAAAACGCCCAAACTTCAAGCTGCCAAGCGACCACACCTCGCTGCTTGAGTTGTCCATCCCTGCAGGGAAGCGCGGTTGCTTGCCCCGCGACCTGCATCTGCCTCGTTCGCGCGCAGGCGGACAGGGCTCGGGGCAAGGCACAGGCGTAGTCCACACCACATCGCATCACCTGGTGTGGTGTGTCATCCCGAAATTTGGTGTGGTCTGCCACCACTGTCGGCGTGAAGTTTATTTAGGGACAGTTATTAAAGAGCGATTGATTAGCAGCGAGACGTGATGGTGGCCATGGGCCAGGCCTGAATCTCAGTAATTGGAGGAAAAAAGACACAGGTAGGTTCAACCGTGGTATTTACAATGAACGGGCCATGAATCATCTGATGATCTATGGCGCGGGCCATAGAATGGCAACATTGACAGAGAAGCCGTCGCGAATGGAAGTTCTTCGGAGCAATTCGCGATATACTTTCTTCTTCCAACACCTGCACGTGCCTGCAGTTGGCTATCAAGGCGCAAAATGACAGATGTGTCAACATGATGCACTTGTGATATGTTTGTGATGTGCACCGATTCCAGCAGCATGCCAGGGATCAGGCTTGTTTTTTACGCCATAAAAACTGCACGCATTTACGTTTTTACACGTAAAAAATGTTTACGTTTTAGGCGTAAAAATAGTTTTGCGTTTTTACCCATGAAAACCCGTTAAAATACGTAAATACAACGTAAATACAGCCTCGTGTACATAAGGACAGTACGTACAGATTTGGGAGTCCTGGGAGTGGCAGTCAGACGCGCTGGAATGGGTAGAAAACCAATTTTTGTTCCATGCTGCCGTTGCCCTTGCCGAGGGCGAGATGGGCACTGTGTTGCAAGAGCCGGAGATGGCCGAGGACTGATCATTGCACACAACTTTCATCATGTAACCCTGGCTGTCCCAACGAGCCGCTCAAACGTAAAAACAACCGTAAAAACAGCCGTAAAAATAGTCCCTTTCGCAAATTTACATTTTTACGAGTAAAAACGTAGACGCGAAAACATGAAGGTAAATGTTAAAACCAGGCCTGCCAGGGATCTTTGATGACATGAGATTCAGACGGATGAGGATGACACAATAGTCGAAATGAAGGCGGACCGCTGCGGACACAACCGCTCTCTCACATCCCACCATGCTGCACAACAACAAAAGGCCACGCAAGGAACCCGCAATTGCTTTCCACCACTTGACAGGAAATAAAAAAGCGCAAAGATGCAATCGACCGCGGCCTCACGCCATTGTCAATTTCGCCAGGGTCAACATCCCAATCAAGATCACCAGTCACAATAATGATGCCCATAACAGCGCCCGCCCCCGCCCCCCCTCAGATCCTCCTGCTCCTCACGAGTTCCTTCAAAAACCCCTCCTCCCCACCCCACCTGCGCAACGCGACCCTCCGGAGGTCCGCCCTCCTGAAAAGCGTCATGCTGGTGAAGTTCACGTGCACAATGTTCACATCGGAAGCGTAGGGCAGCCCCTCCAAGTCCGCGTCTCTGAGACGAAATGCCCATTTGGCCTCCTTCTTCGTTGCCAGCCTTTGCCCGGGCCTGGCCCCTTCGTAGCCCGACCAGCAGTCGGAGCACAGCTGCAGGCGCAGGGGTGCATTGACAATTGTCTGCCGCAGCGTCGGCGAGAAGCAGTCGTAGCAACTCGACTGGTAGGCCGCAATGTACTTGTCCCGCCACAGGCCGCAGTTTTCAGTGCCGTGATTCAGATGCAGGGTTTCACAACTGGGGGTTGGGGTCCGGGGCCTTTTGAGGACGGGGAGTTGCGAATCGGGGGACCTCTGGGCTGCTGATTCTTCGGGAGCCGTTTCTGGGCGCAGTGGGGAGGTCTCGTGGAAGCCCCTCGCGTAGTAGTGGTGATGCCAGAGGGCGTCCGCTGTGGACATCAGCCTCCAGCTCTTGCAGACCTTGCGGAAAACCACGGGAACGACGATGTGTGCATGTTCTCCTTTCATAATCATTTCATCACTCATGTTTACCGCATTCTACTAAGTCCTTCTGCATACCAACGTAACGCTTGACTTCTTTTGCGGAGCAAGAGTAAAAGACATGATTAACGCTCTGAAAAATTGCAGAGCAAAAAGCACAACGGTAAAGTTCTTGAGGCAAAAGGTATAGTAAAATACGGTACAAACATTCATTACACACTCCCATCATTCATTTTGACATAGCAAGGCAAGGAGGCAGCCGTCTGTATGTGCTCCTTTTCTTTCGCTTCCCTCTTCGGGGAATCCAGGATTGGGCGAGCATGCGAGCACGAGTGCATGATTCCCGACAAACACTTTGCGAAGTTGCGCCCATCACCACTCGTCGGGTGCAACGGCTTCGCCCCGTCTTTTCATGACAAATGCAGGGGCAAGTTTTTTTAATGCACAGCACATAACAATACGCCAAAATAAATGAACACAAAGTCACAGTTATCGAAATGTACCAGTCATCATCATCGTTCAGTAAAACATAACAGGGCAAGGAAGTAGCCGTCAGCTTCCTGGTGGCTATAATAATATATGGTGGCTATATTCCAATTATACAAGGATATTTCTTTTAATATATGGTTGACTACATTGGTGGGAATAGTGTTCTGCGCAAGCAAAGCAGCGTCCATGATCAGATCATTGGGATCTAATGCGCAATGCAAACAAAGTCCAGAGATCCATCAATTCCTGCTACCTACACTAGCAAAAAATGGGCCAAATAATGCTTTTTGTGGGGACATACGAAATGCATTTGTCAATGTTCTGCACGCTAAGAACACAAAAATAACCCAAACCCGTAAACTTTGTGCACGTTTGAACACGCGTTATTTAGCCCTTTTCCCTAGTGCTAGAAGCGTTTGCCGATGATACTACAAGAAAAGAACTGCCCTCGCCAGTTGGTGAGCGGGGACTCAAACAACAGTGCTTTGCATCACCATTTATCAGGAGCGAGGGCTGCGCCCTGTCTCTTCATGACAATTGCAGCCAAGTGACTTGCATGCACAATGTACTATCATCGGCAATCACTTCTTGGCATTACGAGTTGTTAGATTCATGGACTTTGTTTATGTTTACCATTAGATTTCATTGAACTTATCACAGACACTGCTTTGCTCGGGCGCGCAACATGAAGCTGACGGCTGCCTCGTTGCCCTGTTCTGTTAGAAATGACGATGATGACTTGAATGCACAACACGCAGCATTGCACCAAAATAAATGAACACTGATGCACAGTTATCGAAATGTACCAGCCCCTTGTTGATATACACGGCAATGCATGTCTCAATCCGCATCACAGCATGTCCAGGCACGCAGCGCCACAAGTAAACACAAACAGTTGCCGCAGATTGCGTCACGCGACTTCGGCAGGCTACCTGCGGGACGGTGGCGAGGCCCTCGTGATCCAACAGGGTAAACACGCACGACCACAAGTCGTGTGGCAGCCTCCCGAGCCCCACAGCGGCGCTCGAGCTCTCTGAATCCTTCAAGCCGCCGTGTGGGTCAGTTGTAGGACTGTGTGGGTCAGTAGGCGCCGCCCCGCCCTCACCCCTCTTTCGCTTGGCCTGCGTCACACAATGAAGGCATGCACTGGTTTCGATCAGCATCTCTGGCATCCATTTGGGAACCCAGGCACGCAACACACTGCAGCAATTCACAATTAATAATTCAATTCTGCTGCATTAAGTTGTCCATTAGCAGATGATAATTATTGGTAGGATATGCTTAACGTTCTGGATCGTCCACTCCATTTGAAATGCTGCTAGTTTGCTCAGTTACTAAGTGCATGAGATCCACGAGCTAGACACGGGCGTGCCTGTGCTGCACAATGTAGTAAGATGGCTCCCAGATGTGTCCCAGCTCCAGTTCAACGTATGTGAAAACAACTTATTTTCGTATTCGTAATGGAAACATAGAATCAGCACAGCACTGGAAAGCTGAAGTACTCCGCATACCTGTGCAGCCAAAGTACTACACATATCTGCAACGATAAAGCCCCACAGAAGTTTGCACCTTCGTGTCTTGGTCAACAGTACCACATCACAAATCAATGTCCAGACGCCAGCCCAAAGAGATAAAGCCGTGTGCCACAGTTGTATCTAAGGACAGCATGCAGTACATTACCACCTAAAACACTTCTCTGTAGCACTGCACCGTGCCGCACCACAGCACAAAAGCACCACTGTAAGTACTGGTACCCTGTGCAGTACAGTACCAGATACTCTGCCTGACAGGGTGTTTCCAATCACCTTCTTGCACTTTGGCCCCTCAAGCATGCTGTCCACCTTCTGCGAGATCCAATTCCTGGCATCGGTGTCAGCATCCAGCATTCCCGCTTCCAAGCCCATGTCCTGCTCCAACAGCCGGCGCACCTGCCTCATCGACAGGGACCTGCACCAAAACAGCCCAGCTGATCAAAGGACTAAACTCCTTTGACAAAATACCTCAGAGGATGTTCCAATAAGCAAACAATGTATACGTTTGCCTCTGCATGACATAGTGGGCCTGTTGCACCTTGCAAGCAGTGAGCTCAGATCAAACAACCCTCAGTAAATTGATGTCACTGTTTTCACAGCCTGGCATGTGCCTGCAGAGATTGCACCCGTGGATCTTGAGCCACACGTTGCACTGTTTTCTTGCCTCTACTGGAACCATCGCTCTTCCTCAGGCAACACAGTGTCGATGTTTTCAATCTGCACTGTGCACATTTTTCACCACTGTGGCAAAGTGCTGCCTTTTTGCCTGCAAAGCACTGCCCATCAGTATATGCAGGGCTCAAAACAAGAGAAGAAGAAAACATCAAAGTCCAATGAATACTCAAAGTCCTAGCGGTGGAGTCCTAAACATCAAGAGAGAAAATGTCATGAAGGGAAAAAGGTTCGTCAGGTAATGTCCTAGATGTCCCAAGTGTCCCAAATGTCCCAAATGCCTCAGATGTCCCAAATATCCCAATATATCCCATGTTTGTTGCCCTGCCTGACTTCCAACAATGGTCATCACCATGTCAATATAAACAAAATCCTCTCTCAAATATGCCCGTCAGACAGCCCTCCAAAAATGGGCCAAAACAGGTCGTCCCAATCCAGAAAGAGCCCAATTCCAATCACCACATCCATGTGTCAAATGCCAGAGCTTAGCTTGTCAGGACTGCATCGACAGATGCAATCAATGGAGCTTCACCTAGGGAACACTACCTATGAGCGATGTTGACCGATCAGCACTTCCCAAAGTTGTGGGCCAGCACTTTGGGGCCAGGCCGTTGGAAGCATCAAAGCTGCTGGAGCCTAGCTAAAACAGCCTTGCTGTTCCCATCCTCCACTTAATTGCCTGTATGTACAGCAGTTCCCTTTTGGATGCCATCCTGTGCTGTGTTGTGGCTAGCCCCCTCCCAAATCCTGAACTCCAACGATCCTGCTGACCATGACTGTACCACAGTCTGATGTCTTGGTCTCCAAAGGCCCACAATTACCTCCTTCCGTACTCTCCCCAGTTGCCTGCCTTGAACTATTCCTATTGTGTGCCGTGTGCAATGTATTTCAGATTATTATCTAAAGCCCTAAAGTCCTAAAGTCCTAAAGTCCTAAAAGTCCTAAAGTCCTAAAAGTCCTAAAGTCCTAAAGTCCTAAAGTCCTAAAGTCCTAAAAGTCCTAAAGTCCTAAAGTCCTAAAAGTCCTAAAAGTCCTAAAGTCCTAAAGTCCCTAAAGTCCTAAAGTCCCTAAAGTCCTAAAGTCCTAAAAGCCTAATATTAATTAGTATCCACAATATTGTGTGCACAGGGTTTTGAAACATGCGGAATGCAAACAACAGCTGTTCCAGGCATACACTGCAAAGGTACTCTCCCAGGGTAAGGTTATGAACTTGCTCATTCTGTGCTCAACATGATCAGTTTGACCAGGACATACCCGAGGTCTTGTTGGACCTGTGCTGTGCTGGCAGTACAGTGTGTGACACATGACCTCGCCCAGCTGTGATGACAAATAAGGCAGACGTGGCATTAAGTTGGCTGTTTCTTTCAGGGATGCAAATATGCAATCCATTCTCGCCAGATGTCACTTTACATCTTGGTACCGCCCATGCCAACTACAGGACCTTACACATACAAGGACAGCACCCAATTGACGTCCAGGTCTGTTCTGAAAGCTGTGTGCCCATCAGTTGCCAATGTGCCCTGATCGCCAAAACCAAAATGCTGATGGACCTCACTGTTGGAGCTGATGACTGGCGGCGTCCACACACAGCCTGCATTGCTGGCCTTTATCACAGGCATATATTATTACAATACTATATCATATTTATAGCCAGTTCAACGGATTGTCATCCAGGCCCAGATGGAGTTCCCCATGGTTCCACAGTGGAAGTGTTGTAGCCAGTGCCAGGTTTGTCCTTGTTGTTTCTTGCCCTGGACAACTAAACAGACACTGGCCTGCCCATGGGCTGTTTGCTGACCTGCAGAGCTGTGTGCTTGTCTGCTCTGGTGGCATGGGGATTGTGGAGTGCTGCTGTTGAACCCCCGTGACCACCATGTATACTAGCGAGTCGATGGACTCCGAACTTCTTGGTGCAGCATAAGCTCCACACATTGGCCACACCTGGCACGTCCCTTAACAGGTCACCTGCAAGGAGGCGTCCAACCAGCCCTTCTTCCTTGCACAGTGAAGACCAGCCACCCTGTGATATTTTGATTCCAAAGTATCGCATCGCATTCAGTGTCCAGGTGCCACCCACAGTCCTAACACAAGAGGATCCGACCTTGTGCCGTCTGGCAAGAGTGAAGAGTGTGCAGAAAGGAAACGAAAACACTAGCCCTGCATTGTTCTGGGGCCTGAGGTGGACTTCGATTCTGGGCACTCCAGCTCAGGATGAATTCGTGTCGATGCACAGAGCAGCATGGCACGGCCACTGTGCCCTATTCTGGCCACTGCGCCTCAGGATGAACTCGTGCCGATGCAAAGGCAAGCACGACACGGCCACTGTGCTCTACTGTTTGTGTGGGCTGATCCATCCATGCAATCAATCTCCCTGGGCCTTTTGCTCTGATGACAGGTGGGCTTGCACGCTTTCGTCACCAAGGCCTGTCAGCTTCTTGCCGTCCACAAAATAATCTGAACACAGTGGAGGCAGACACCAGGACCAGTGCGTTCTTTATCACCTTGTTGCAATAGACACTCTTTCACATCACACTCACTCATTCGTGCACCGCACTTCAGCTGGCCAAGCCCAGCTGGATTCCAGTCGCCGAACGCTTTGGGTGACCAAAAAGACCGTGGCAAGAATAGACCAGGGTGGAATTAGAGAATTTCATATGCAGTGTCTCGATTTGATTGGATTCCCTTTCTTTGCACACGTTTCTTTCAGCGCTTCCCTTTCTTTGAACGCGCGCTCGCGTGCCGCTGGGCGCCCAAGAAGCGCGCAGCACCGCCCAAAACGCCCTCGCCTCTCCAGAGGGCCCGGACGCGTCCAAGCGGACCCCCCAAGCAAATTGCCACCGTCCCTACCGCATTTCATCCCGCCAACGCAGCAACACGCCAACGCGCTAACATCGCCTTTCGATCTCACGTGGCCCTTCCCACCAAACTCGGACCGAGGGCTCAGGCGCACGGCGACCAAGCGCCCCATGATTCCTCCAACTTCAATCCACAACTTCAACCCACAAAACGATTTTCTTAAATTTTTGGATCCACACCCCGCGCGTCTGAAACGTCACCTCTCATTGGCCCGCAGGTGCCCGGCTCTGTTGGCCAGGGCGTCCAAGAGGCGGGAGGCGTCCAGCGGGGGCGATAGGGAGGCGACCAAGCCCCCAGGAATCCTACAACTTCAATCCGCAGCTGCAAACCACCAAGCGACTCCGCACCCCGTGCGTCTGAAACCTCACCTCCTGTTGGCCTGCAGATGCGCCGCTCGGTTGGCCAAGGCGTCCTTGAGGCGCGACGCGTCCAGCTGGGCGCTGGGGGAGGTGGCATGCCCGCGACGGGCGCCCTTGCGGGGGTCCGGCCCTTCGGGCATCCCCGGGCGCGCCATCCGAAGCGGTGGCGCCGGGTCGCGCCCTCTCGTGCGCCTACTGCCTGGACTGGGCCCTGCCGCCGGGCTGCCCGGGCGCAAGGCGCGGAATCCGGCGAACGTCCGGAGGCCCCAGTTCCATGAATGAATGCCCTGGAGGTCATCTCCGCATTGGGGGGAGCTTTTCTTTTTTTTTAGGGTTTTAGTTTTTTTGTGTGTTTCCAGCTTTTAGTTTGGCAAGGTTCTTCATGGTCTTTTCAGGCTTTTGTGTTTTTCAAGCTTTCCTAAGGTTTTGGAGCCCTTTTGTACCCTTCTTGACCTTCACGACCGTGATGAGGAGTGCGCTACACACCCTCCACTAAAGGATATGAATGGAGGTCCCTAAGGTCGCGGGGACCTTTTCTGGTTTAAGGGCTCCAGTTTTCGAAATTTCATGGCCTTCGTACTGTTCATGGCATTCATATCAGGAAATGCTAGCGACCGGTCAAACCTCCTCAAACTAGTTGCCTAAATTCGATTTGAGTTCTGAGACTCTGAAAGTCTAGAAGTAGTAGAGGGCGGCTTTAGTGGAATGTGATGGAATGAACGCAGTTAAGTCGGGTTGAGGACCGCCTGGGAGGTACTGTTAAAGTTCCCGGAACAAAGCTAATGCAAGACACAATGAAGTCCATGAGAATGGAGTGTGTCTCTGACCGTCTGACTGACCAGAGATGAAGCTGAAAACATGTTGGTTATGCACTCAACAAAATGCACCGAGACAACAAGCTGTTAAGGTGCCAATTCGTAGCGAGCTGCGGCCAGTTCATTAAACCGTTAAACGATTTAGATTACCCGGTTAATGCGGCGCAACATCCGGCGGGTAGTCAGCTGCCGCTTGCGCCTTGGATGCTTCCCGCGCGCGACTTGCTCAGGAGTGCGCGGCTGGTCGGCGCGAGTGCGCGGAAAGGAGCGACCGCCGGCGACTGTGCTGGGCGACAGTGGCCGGACGTGGCGGACATCGAGGGACGGCTTTCGAAGCCGATGCGCAGCTGACCGGCGAGGCGGAGGTGTCGAGCCATGGAGCTCGTTCTGGCGGAATGGCGGAGGCGCTGAGCGGTGCGAGTGCGGCAAAGTTGGTCGGAAAGATGGCGCGGAGCAAGAGAACCCTTGCGCGCATCGAGGGGAAGCGCGATGCGTTGTTAAGGGCAGATGAGGGGGGCGCCTTACGAGAAAGGGCGGAGGCGGGCAGTCCGGAGGCCGGGGCCGATCGTCCCCGGCCGCTCAAGCGGCCTCAGCGATGGCCGTCAGGGAGCTCGTCGTTGAGCTCCGGACAGAGGCGGTGGAGGCGCCGAGGTCGGCCGCAGAGTGGGCCTCCATGGCCACCCGGAGGGCCCTAGGAAACCCC